GCGTTTTGTGTAACTTTAATAAAACTTTTAAAAAGAAAGATTTATTGCAAACATAATTAAAAACCTAACAAAAAGTTTCGCTTAGAGTTCAAGTTTTTAATTTTTATTTTTTAGTGATTACATAGTTTCTTTTTCGTAAGGAATTTTTTTTTCTTTAGGATTTTTTTGATTAACTTTTTTCCTAGTTTAAGTTTAGCTTAGCGTTTTTACATTCAATGTGTTTCTGAAATGTTTTAATCATCAAAACATATAAACAATCGTGGTCAAGTTGTCAAAAAATAAAGTCATTTGTGTGGTTAGTAATAGCGCTCGATCGCATGCCATTCCTGTCCAAGCCTGAAGGCTGTAGCAATTTCTTCAAGATGTTGTTACCCCCAATGTCATCAATGTCATCCTTCTCAGAAATAACATAGTATAGCCCCAGTGATATTTTGTCAGAAACTTCAAAGTATACAGGCCTTCATCTGCGGTTTCAATCACAAGACCGTAGAACTTTTGGTTTATCTTTTTACCAGCATACTTTACTATCACCCAATCTCCAACAAATACATTAAAGTTGTCCTTTTCTTCAGGGACTTTCTCAATTTCTTCAGTCATTATTTCTTTTTTTTGTCAGTTAGGCCTACTAGTTTAGCTTGCATTTTTGAAACCTGCTATTGTGGATTTTTTTCATTAAACAGCCTGGTCGCAACATCCTCAGTTGTTAAGACTTTTCCAACCTTTGCCTGCACTCTTTTTGTTTTTCTTCCAGCATTGCTAACTGCATCCATGTTATTTCGTGATCAACCTGTTGAAATTGTTTTCAAAATTGCTTGCTGCAACTCTTTAAAGGAAGATTCATTAGATGTGTTACTGTTAGTGTCCAGAGTCTCTAAAAGTGAAACATTTGGTTGAACTTGAAGCATATGTCTGTATGCTTCTGACTCCATAACATTAGAAGCTGAAATCACTGGCTGCTGATTGCTTTCCACTGGCATTGACAACACTTTCTGTCAGCCCTTCTGCCCTTGCTTTGGTTAAAAGTTCAGGCTTTCGTTTTTAAAGTTTCTCTTTCCATCTCTTTTCAAACCCAGTTAACTAGTCTTCACCAGGGCAGTTGTCTTTGAAAGGATTAGGTATTCCTGTTTCTTGAATGAAACACTTAACTATTGATATCAAGTCAGAATGATTCCATGGAAATCCACTATCAGCTAAATAGCACAATGTGCGAATAATTAAGTGTTCCTCATCAGCGGTAAGAACAGGGAGTCGTCCAGAACCAATTTGCTTTGGAGTTTGAACTACACATCTCCTTAAAGTTTCATATTGAACTTTCTTTTCCCTTGAAACTTTGTAAACTGAACTTCCTTGCTCAATGATAAGTCTTGCATTTTCCAAGTCCTCCTTTGTATAGTTGGGTTGTGTTTGGCGGATATAACTCCTCGGCATTTTAAATCAAGGCCTGCAACAAAACAGAACAATTGAATTAATGTATATTCATTACTGCATTTAATTCATAATACATAATAATAAATACTGCTAGATATCACTGGGATGTTGCATTAGCTTATCTTATTATTTGATATACCCATTTTCTCCCATTCTGGTTTTTCAACTGATATTTAAAATTGTTTGTTTTTTCACATTCCTGTTACTATTAGCTAAAAAGAGGAATTTCTCTTGCTTATAAATCTGTAACTTGTGACTGTGTATGTTAAATACATCATTTTTTACAACAAAGTTTTACCTGTTGGTAAAAGCACATGGAAACCAAGACCGAAATGGCGGTACACCCTGTAGAAAAGCAGCACAGCAGCAAAAAATCCCAATTACAATTTTTTTAATAAAAATTGTTTCACTATCATAAAAAACTAAAACTTATTTCAATACATTAATAGTGATTTTTTCTAGGTGGTGCCTATTTTTAATGTAACCATATATAACCTGGGGGGGGGGGATTAAATGGATTACCCCAATTATGCTCAACCAGCGGGTCAAAAAGCCTGTTTGTTTTTTATTCTTGCATGCTTAATAAAAAGGAGGAGAGGGGGGGAGGAGAGGGAATAAACACTGTGAATTTTGGGAAACTTGTGAAAAAGTTAGAATTTTAGTTAAGCTTCTAGTTTTATACTAGAGTGAGGAATAAACCAAAAATTAATTTTTAACAAATCTAGATTTACGAGGTTTTTTTTTAAATCAACGATTTTTAAAGCCTGGTTATACTGAATTTGTTATTCTTATCGACAACTGATATTGATATATGACCGGTTTATACTGATTTTTTTTAGTTTAAAGCTTTTTTGCTGATAATAAGTTAAAATTAATAAGCACCCCCTGTTCATTAATTTTTACTTGTTATAAATTTAAATTTTCTGATATTTAATAAACGTCTCCTCCTGTGTATTAATCATGCAAGTGTATTTATTGTTTTCAATTACTTATCTAAAAAAAACTTATAGCAAATGTTGCCTTGCCTTTTCTGTTCATAAATTAGACATTTAATACTTGTCTAACTGTCTTA